TATGAGAATTCTTTGTATTGTAAAACAGATTGTAATACTGCAGCAACTGTTAAATGCACCGACCTGAAGCCTATGATTGGACATTCCTTGCAGATGTTGCACTTGGCCTGGTGTTTGGCGGTCTCTGCAGCAGCAACGCGATGAAGGACAGGAAGCCACACCATGGACTGAGGCTCCAGGCGCATCCAGTCCAGGAACATGGTGGCCTCAAGCTCAGGCTTGTTGTTGGCCTGAAATAACAACATGACAGGTTACGGCGTTACACTTTTTTCTCAGACTTCTGGAAAAGAAAAAAAAGTGGCCCTAATCTTCTTCCGTAAGTGTCCACAAGTTTCAAGATTTCATTTTCAAATTTTGATCCCATAACAGCTTGAGCTGATTACATTTTTATCCAACGTCAAAGGCAAGGTCACAACAAATGTAAAGAAAGAAAAGAAAATTTGAAACGACAGCAACTCAGCCATGATCTGGTCGAGGAGGGTCAGCTGACGTTGAGGCGCGTTAGTGTGCAGAGGTCGCTAAAAACCTCAAAATTACATGTGACCTTCAGATGAGCTCATAACAGTACAGAGAGAGCTTGGAATGGGTTTGAATCCTGAGCTACAGCCACACATTTGCGATGGCTGTAGAGCAGGAGGAGGAGCATCTGCTAATCAGGTTGGTGATTCGATCCCTGGCTTCACCAGTCTGAATGCCAAATATCCCTGGACAAGACACTACCCCAAGTTGCTCTCCCATTGTAGTGTGAATGTGTGAATGTTACTGTGGTATTAAGTGGTATTGAGCACTTAAAGCATAGTGAAACGAGCTGTGTGAATGTGTGAATGAGGCAACCCTCACGAAACGTACAAACTGAAAGCAGCTGCGGACGGAGGGCTCGATGTTGGAGCCGCCGAAGGAGGCGACCTCGCCAAGTTGTCGGGGGATCTGAATGGAGTCGTGCAGCAGGAGGCCAAGTCGACGCTGGTCACAGAATCCCGTCGCACTGGCAACCTGCCGGAACAGGACTGGAGAGGACGAGGCAGAGAAAACACGAGAGGTTGGAGAAAGTCCACACAAGGATTTTCCTTTGGTATGATTTTATTTGTGAGATGAAATATAAGTAAGTACTTATTATTATTAGGACACAATAGTGGCAGAAAAACATTGCACATTGACTTACATCTGTATTTATCCTCCAAATGAGCCTTGCAGAGTGAGATGATGCCAGTTTTGAACGACAGAGATCTGATCTTCCCGGTGCGACCGCTGCCAACAAAAAGAGACGGTTTAGAGCCGAATCATCAGAGAAACACGACGTGTTTAAGTGCTGCACGTACGTGTCGTAGACGTTCAGCAGCCAGTTGAGGCACATGTCAACGCAGAGCGGGACATTGACCAAGTGGGAGTGGTTCTGCTCAAGTCGCTGGTAGAGGCTCGTGAGGCAGGTGACCAGCTGAGAGATGTCCAGCAGCTGCTCGTTCTGCTTCAAACCGTGCTGGTCGAATATCTCGCAAGCTGCCGGCATGCTCAACAGGTCCACTGAACAAGACACACAGGGAGGGGCGCGGTTAGTCAGCACATCTATGGGCGTC